AGCAGAAGCTTTGATACTATTATATATATATATATATATATATATATGTGTGTGTGAATTTTATTATGCTTTCTCACAATAATTCGTGAATCTGATCCTCAATTTTCTAACCAAAAAATGATTAAGCAATCTTTGTGTCAATTATATGAGTAGATCATCACATGACAGCGTTTACTGATACAATTATATATAAGATGATTTGTTAGAGATTGTCATTCCCATTTTACAAGACCAATCAAAAACGAATTTCACATATATATCAATTTGATTATAAAAATAATAAAAAAAATCGAAAAAATATTAGGAAAATAAATCAGAACCGAACACAAACAAAAACCAAACGGAATCAAATATAGAAATCATTAAAAAATACAAACGGATACAACAAAGCAAATCAAATCCAAGCCCAAAAAACAAGCCAAACCTTGAAATGGCCATTTTACAAAAAAAACAGTGCTCATTAATATTATAATATATAAATTTTTTTCAAGGGGTTGCTTCTGCTTTGTGAAATTCAATAACCCAATAAGGAGAAGCACAAGACATGAAATGGCAGCGGGTGAAACCAGAAGCGAGGGCTAGGTCTTGGAACTCGGCCTTTGTCCTTTCTTTACCGCCGGAACATTGGGAGAGCATCAACATGTCGAAGTCGAAGGTGATGTTGGAGCGGACATCCCCACCCCTCGGCTCCTCCGGAGTCACCATCTCTATCAGAATCACCTTGCCCTTTTCCGGCAATGCTCTCCAACAGTTTTTCAGGATCTTCACACACTTTTCGTCTGTCCAATCGTGGAGTATCCACTGCCATTTATTCATCAAAATCCCACATTTATCATACTCAACAAATGACAAGTTTCACAACATTTTTCTCAAATATCTTTAAAACTTTTTTTTGGTAACCGAATATACTGCACCAATACACCAACTTATAATCCCGAAACCAAGGATCAACCATATAATTTGGAATATACGTCTCATCTCCAAATTTGAGGTTCGAACTCAAAACGTGTTTTGTGCCACGTTTTACCGGTTGAACTATCCAAGTTTATGTATCATAAAATATCCACTGTCATTTTGTTCATAAAACCGGATCAAACAATAAATTTTGAATATGATTTTATGAATCTAAATGGGTTATAGATTCTGATTTGGTTTATGACAAAATCGATAGGTAAAACAAACGTACCTTCATCAAAATGGCATCTCCTTTTGGAACAT